GGGGAGTACCTATTGTAAACTTTTTATTAAACCATAAATTATCAATTATCTGATACCAAATGTAAATGAAACTGAAACAAAATTACAACGATTAAAACTTAATTTAAAGCAAGTTTTTAAAATAATTTACTTATGATTTTATACATGTTATCATTTGAAAATTATTTTACTGAACTAATAAAATAATAACATCTCATTTCCCCATGTACACTTTCTAACACAACCACAAATAGATCGGCCGCTGCTGCGGCCGATAATGATTGGGTTTTCACTACTGTGATTTAATTCATAGATATGAGGCCCCGTTTTGGTATTTACTGCAAAAAGTAATATCCCCTATTTGAATAAGTGATATCACCTGTTCCAATAGGTGATATCACCTATTTGCTTTGAAATGGTGATATCACCAATTCGAAAAGGTGATATCAGTTATTCGATTGGGTGATATCACCTTTTCCTGTAGTTTTTTTTTTTGTTTTTTTTTTTGCTTACAAATTAATTTATTTCACTTATATATTATGTATACAACAAGAAAATCGTAGAAAATGCATGAAAACTGGGTAGTCCGAATTTTCTTGGTTCCAGTGTAGTATAATATATATATTATATGGAGCATTCATTAATGACTGTTGTAAGAAACTCAAATAGGTAATATCACCATTTCGAATAGGTGATACCACTTATTCAAATAGGTGATAGCATCTATTTAGCACGAAAAGGTGATATCACCTTTAATTCTAAGCTCTCTGATTGGCTCAAACTTGATCGCATGATTAAGTATATAACAGCATAAAGACTTGAGTTACTATTTATAGAATCTGAAATGCATATTGACTTCATGTTTTTTTTTTTTTGTGATCATAAAGTTTACTATATTGCAGGAGTCCTTTTAGAAAATTTCATTAAAGTGAGTGACACCCCCCCCCCCCTCCCTGCCGGAGATAATTTTTTGTAAAACAGAAATAGTATTGATTTCTCAATCAAAGATAATACAGAGTATGACTTGATGTTTCTGAAAAAAAAATTACTACAACTTGTATTAATATTTTTTAATGTTCCGTAATTGGTGAGACGTATCAATGCCTTTAAGTCTTGAATTAGGATCAAAATGTACTTTATATTAAACATATTGGATATCTTTGTCAAAAATTGAAACAAGACATAATCAATTAAATAAATTAGTATTCTGAATAACTAAATCCTCTATAATTACTCCATCAATGTATAAAAATAAACACATTTATTTAATATTAAATAGCAACAGCTTAATTTATGCTGATCTGTAGTCTCTAAGTCTTGAAGAGAGAAAACTTCTGCCTTATTCCCATTATTTTCAAATTTTGTTTTGTCAATCTATGTGATAAAATGATTTATATTCGATAATAATGTTAAATGCAATCATGGCAATTATTGAAAAAGAATTAAAAAAAAAAAACATCGCATAGGAGATCATAGAGATAAAATTATGTAATAAGATGAGAAGTTTATCGAATAGGAATCGTATTTTTTTCGAATAGAAATGATGGTAGCATGTTTTCGAACAACAACTTTATTGCGTATAAACCAAATAATCATCGATTAAAAAAGATAAAATTATCGAATAGGAATGACAAAATTAGCGACTAGCAACCGATTGTTTTAAATATTAATGACATCGAATAGGAAACGTACGACGGTGTACTAGTATTCGTGCCATTTTAGCAATTTAGAATTTAAAAAAAAAATCGTTTGAACGATTTTAAAAAACGTTTGTACGATTTAACAAATTGTTTGTACAATTTAATAAATCGTTTGTACAATTTAATAAATCGTTTGTACAATTTGATAAATCGTTTGTACAATTTAATAAGTCGTTTGTACGATTTAATAAGTCGTTTGTACGATTAAAATAATTCGTTTGTACGATTTAAAGTTTGTTTGTACAATTTAGTAAATTGTTTGTACAATTTAATAAATCGTTTGTACAATTTGTTTGTTAAATCGTTTGTACAATTTATTAAATCGTTTGTACAAACTATTTTTTAAAATCGTTCAAACGTTTTCTTAAATCGTAAAAACGGTTTCCTAAATTGTTCAAACGATTTATAAAAACGTACAAACTATTTTGATAAATCGTATGAACGTTTTAATAAATTGTACAAACGATTAACAAACAAATTGTACAAACGATTTATTAAATTGTGCAAACGTTTTCTTAAATCGTTCAAACGATTTTAAAAAAAATTCTACATTGTTAAAATGGCACGCATACGCCGTCGTACCTATTCGTTGTTTTGTAGTTATTTATGGATGCCATGGATTTTGGAAAGTATTTTCAAAAATAAAGTGGTCATGCTTAAAGCAGTGGCGTAGCATCGTTTTTGAAAAGGGGGGGGGGACAGCCGGAGAAAATTTTTTTTTTACTTACCTGAAAAAGTTGATAGCCAAAAAAAAAAGGGGGGAGTTAAAAGTCGAAAATCCTATTTCTTGGGGGGGGGGGGGGTAGAGGTTAACTTTTTTCAGTGTAAACTACTTTCAGTACCAATTCTAATACTTCATTTTCGACACATCACTAAAACTGGGGGACCATCCAGGTTTTCAATTAACATTTGCTATAGTATAGGTAATGTTGAGAAAAAAGTGGGGGGGGGGGGGGGGCAGGCTCCCCTGCTTCCCCCCCCCCCCCCACCACCTGTTGCTACGCCTCTGCGAAAATAACTGAAACCGTGCACTGATCAAAATTTACATACATACACGGGGTGATACTGTATGTTTATTTCTTTTATTCTTGAAAAGGGAAAAAATTGAAACCGAAATATAAATAAAGTGATACTGATAAATCCCGTAAAACAACTTCCCAGCTAAAAAAAAATGTTCAAAATTGAAGTGGGGTCAATATTCAACAGGGTCATTTTTCAACTTGTTGACGTCATCAGGTGTAAGAAAAAAAATTATCAAGCTGTTGAAAAATGACCCCGGGTATAAATTCAACGACTTTTAGTCTCAATATTCAACGTTGAAAAATGACCCTGGTTCAATATTCAACGTTGAAAAATGACCCCCGGGTCAATTTTCAACTCGGGTCAATATTCAACGTTACACCCGCATCGAAAGATCCGAGGCGTATATTGTTTTTGTCCTGTCTGTCTGTTTTTCTGTTTATATGTTTGTTTGTCTGCAAACTTTAACCTTCGCCATAACTTTTGAACCACGAATGAAATAGATTTCATATTTGGTATGCATACTCCACTTATAAAGCTCTTTCAAATGACAGCAAGGTCAATGACCTTGTGACCTTGACTGTTGACCTATATGCTAAAAATAGTTTTTTCTGCAAACTTGAACCTTCGCTGTAACTTTTGAATCATAAAAGATAGAGACTTCATATTTGGTATGCAAACACCGCTGATTAAGCTCTTTTAAATGACACCATGGTCAATGACCTTGTGACCTTGACTGTGACCTATACGCTAAATATAGCTTTTTTGTCGGCAAACTTTAACCGTCGCCATAACTTTTGAACGAAGAAAGATAGCCACTTAATATTTGGCATGTATACTCCACTAATTAAGCCCTTTCACATGACATCAAGGTAAATGACCTTGTGACCTTGACTGTGTCCTATATGCTGAAGATAGCTTTTTTGAATCTTCATCATAACTTTTGAACCACGAGAGATAGAGATATCATATCTGGTATGCATACTTTACTAATCAAGTTCTTTCAAATGACACCAAGAACAATGACCTTCTGACCTTGACTGTGACCTATATGCTAAAAATATTTTTTTAAACTTTGTTGCCGCCGGGCGGATAGTGTTTCACAAACACATCTTGTTTTTTATACATTCGGGTATATCATGGAGATTGGGGGGGGGGGGGGGCAAAGCGCCTGATAATTCTAAGAAAATAAAATTTAAAATGTGAGTACATCGTCATTTGTCAGCATCCTCAACATTTATGTAAAACTGTTGAATACAAGTTGTGAGAGGAGAAGTAGGATACACGGCATGTTAATGTACTTTAATGGAATATTCGAACGTGCTTTCATCGGTAATTACTGTATTGTCCTAAAATATTGGTCTCTTCTCGTGATTCTTTGTAAAACAACTCAACTCCCGATGAATGAAAATCCGGGCATTTTATTGTATCATGGGATATTGATTTTTAACACGTTTTCCTCCCTTCGGAGATAACCAAATGGTTCAACTTTGCTCCGAAGATGCTGCGCATTGTCCGATTTCTGAATTTCATCCGCGAAGAACGAGCGCTTCTGGCCACGCCCCCTCGTTAGACTGACCAGGTGGCCGTGGTTAATTATTGACGTCCATGTAAGGTCGACTGAGCGTGCTGGAATGAACAAGCCCCCGGGGAGGAGGGAGTTAAGTACCCCCACTTCAAACTCCATCGAACATTGAAGGATGATGAAAAGAAAACGGGTAATGATGACAAGCTATTACAATGTTTTGGGTCGGCATATGACACATCTTTAGTGTTTTTCTTTTCAACGACAATATAGACCGAGGCAAAATGGAAGAGAAGTTGGGTTATACAACATTAATACTTCGCTTCATTTTGGATTTATATACATTTCTTTCATAGATACAATGCGAGTTTGCAGGAAAAAAAAAATTAAAATCGGTATTTCTGCTTAATTTATTTTTGCATGTGTTTTAAACATTATGTCGTCTGAATTTATTAACATGGAATTACAAGTTAACTATCAACGGCTATTTTCCTGAAAAATCGAAACAGAACTGTTTGTCATTAAAGCAAAAATATTTTTTTCACGAAATCAAGTGGCATGGACTCCATGATTAGAATGCACGACACGTTTTGTCTGGTTTGAAATCTTTACTTCGTGTATTTCTGACTTTGCACTGTTAGATCATGGCACAAGTATATTTCCTTTCTATTGCATTGTCAGCGACATACTGTTTTACAGCCAACTAAATTAATTTAAACGTAGTTGAAAAGACGTTAAAACTATTATCACTATGTGACCAAAAACACCGTGCACAGTTTCTTTAATTATAACATATATTATAGTTTTGCCATACAATTACATTTATAAACATGCATACTATAAACTTTCATTTTCATACGAAGTCATATTATCCACGCAGTCCTTTGTATTTCACATCCATTTTTCAATCAGCACTAAATATAACTATCAATTCTAAACACAGTTTGAATTTTGGCGACGATGCTTATTCGAACACCGTTAAATCAGCGGTATCGTGTTCTGTGGTCACGCTTGATACTGCAGCACTGGGTTCGACAGACCATGGTGTGTGTTGTTCATCCGCAGAGCTGTTAAACTCTTGTTGTACCAGTCATCTTCGTGTGTTTCCTGAAAAAATCATCATCATCATTCATCATCGTGAAAAATAATCATCATTCGATTAATTAAGAATGTAATCCCTACTTTTTAAACAAATTGCAAAACCACCTCATTCAAACAGTACCGACAAAAAATATATACATGTACTAGTACGTATATTGAATTATGCCTGAACTTACCAAATTATAATCTGTCATTGGAAACTGTTGAACTTGTCTGGGCATAGTCGCCATATTGGTTGTTGGCATTCCCGGCATGCTTGAGAACTGTGCCACGGGAGGGTAGCTTGTGTTCATCTGAGGGTATCTAGACATAGAGTTCATAGTGGGTGGGGCAGGGTAAGTTCCGTATGGCCTTGATGTCGTGGGGTAAATATTTTTCATCATGGCTCCACAAGCTGGATTCATTACTGGCGATAGTGATTTGGCTAATTGTTTCTCCTGTTTTCTGTATTTTGCTCTTCTGTTCTGGAACCACACCTGTAAAAGGAACACTTGTTTTAAACCTCTTAAAGCAAACTATATTTTAACAAATCGACATGGATAAAATAATTATATGATGACTTGTTGCAAGTTTTTTGTCTCAATAAGTTTCTTTTCCAACGTACAAGACTATCCCCAAAACTTAATCTTTTTAATACGCAAGTGTTATATACAAATGCATGAACATTTTGCAAATCCTTTCCATTTGCTCTATGATCTAGCCAAAAAAAAATCTATCAAATTTGAAGTCCAACAATTCATGCAGATAGTTGCAAATTTTCTGATCAGTCAAAAATGCGAAAATTTATTAATCATGCAAAGTCTAGCTCAGTGGAAATCCTACACGAAATCTACAAAAGCACCCCCGGAAGAAGGTCTTCTCTTTTCTAAAGACATCGAAAGCGAGAAATGTCCGTAGAAATACACGATGTTTTGCATACGTAATTGAAAAGAAATAGGTTTTGATGAACCAAGAGACCAAATATTTCTAGCGGGATTAATGAAGCAGACGTCAATTCGTCGCGCGTGCAGGAAAGTCGTCTGCAATTATCTTCGTCGCTCGTCATTCAGCATGTTTGCTTTCAATGTGGTCAATGAATCCAAGAAAGCAGAATTGATTTCAATTATTCCTCTAATACAAAATGTACTTGATTTTGGAGAAAAGAGAGCTGCAACGAGGACGGTTTGGAGTACGGAGTATTCTTGTACAGCTAGGCTTTTTGAAAACGAATTAGTCATTTCAAGAAAGGGTTGCAAATTGGAGCTCCATGCATTCCTATAACTTGTATTTCAATATATTGGGCAATGAATCTACTTTTACAGGCCCATAATATTATATACATTGTTAAAAGCATAATTACCAAATAATCTGTTTCGTTCGTAAACTTTTTTTTTTAAATTGCATAAAATGTCTTTCAAGAAATTATTTTTTCTGGACCATCTATTTGTGTTGCTTTTTGAATAATTTACGACTTTTTAAAGTAAACATGTGGTTATTTTCCATTATAATAATTATTATTTTTTAGCTCTCAGAGATTTGAGTCTAATCTTTCAATGTTTTGTGTCAAAAATTTATATTACTTTACATAGAAGTTGCCAATCTAGCAAAAAACATCACTATTCTCTTTTAAGTTGTTTGGTGTCTTTTAGTACTGTACAAACTAAGATTTCCTATTAAAATATCCAACAGTAATGTCTATTCCTTCGTAGAGAATGTGTAACTCGTGTTTCAAAAATCATTGAAATTATATAAATACAAACTGAAAGACTTTCATTTATTAGCAGGAATCTTTGTTATTTGTGAGATAAAAACACTTTATTTTGAAAGTACTGAAAGACATTATCATTTATTGGCAGGAATCTATTTAATTTGTAAGCTAAACCACTTTATTTTGGAAGTAGTACACTCAAAGAAAGTATTAGTTTACCGAATGTTTCTGAATCATATTGACCTTTATTAATTTCTTTATTAGATTTTGTTTTTGATATACAGATGGTTCTTGTATGAACACAATAAAATATTTTGTACTGAAATAGAATCTTTTTCTCGCTCTCTTTAAACACTTTGAAATACGTGATAAGTTTACCTATCTATATCCTTTGATCTATCCGTCCTACCAGGCATTTTATCACTTGTTGGGGGGACGTGTGCCTATAACGACACAATCATGACACCCTTGATCTATACGCGTGCCTACACGTCGGAAATTGATGGCGTTACGTCTGACACGTGTATGTAGTCAAAGCCTTTTCACGCCTGTTGTACCAAAAGAAATACCCATACATGCTGATCACAGACTTCTGTAATGTGTCTGTATATGACAATATTTTTACTGATTATTTCACCACATTTTCAAAGTCAATACGATGATTTAGCTATACAATATTCACCTCGCCCATACGTCATTTGTGCGTTTTGCAATGAAAAAGACCATGCTATATTGCAAATCTTGCGTTCTTTAGTTTATAAAAAAAAATCTAGATTTTTTTTTCGGAGTGTCCTCTGATAGGAGGTTGCCCGTCTCTAGAGAGAAGACTAGATAATGAGAGAAGACAGAACCGCTAATGGAAAACTCTCTTAGCGCTTTCTTTCACTGCATTAGCGACAAATGAAAATTCATCAGCGCCGACACTCCGGCCTCGAGCGCATTGCCATCGCTGGCTTTTTCGAAATTGAATTTTCCCCCTTCCGTACATCCAGTCTTACATACATAGCCTCGCTGATCCAGAGTGGAAAACGTCGTTACTGAAGAAAATAGCCTCTATTGTTTCATGTATACGACATCGTTGCAAAACTTATTGAAAAAAAGTTTACATTAATAATTTAGTATTACTGCTCACAAAATTGACGAGGTCGAATTTAAGAAATTGCTTTAGTATCGTTGCTTTGATCGTAAAGAGATAATACAGGTTTCAATAAAGATATTAAGTGAAAAATTGTCATTCGATTTTCTAAATATCTGGCTTCATTTGATGTGAAATTTTGATTTCATTTTTTTCCTGAAATCTAAACACGAATTTAATAATATATATATATCTTTTAAATTATAAAGATATGTAACACATGCTTTACATACTGTTAAAGCAATATGAGCTGCAACTTTGATGTTGGGAATTTTTATTGCAAAGTTTTAACTAACTATTTCAAAAACAGAGAAAAAGAACATTTATAATCTTCTTTTGTTCATATTTGCTATGGAAGGACTTTTTATATGCTATAATTGAAGCAAAATTGCAATATTGTCGCCCTGTACAATAATTGATTTCTTAAATAATGCTATATATTTTATTGTACAGAAGTCTTTCTTTTAAAACAATTTAATACTTTATCTTAGTTTAATTGAACATAAAGATTTAAATTATATGAAAAATTATCATAATAACACATTTTAACGGCAAAATAAAATTCTCAAAAATGGAGCTCATATTGCTTTAAGTTCCGATACTTTTTACCGTTTCATATTTAAATAATCTATCAATGTATTATCATAGCTCATAACATTCGGATATTATTTCTTATTTTCTTTCTAAAAATAATACATATGTACTGTATCATAATGAATGTATTTGATCCCTTATATATACAGATATTCTTTTTTTTTAAAAATGGTTACATGAAATTTTTGGTTAAGGAGCGCTTTGTGAAAAAAAGATAACATCTCTTGTTCAAATATTTCAGCATCATAATTGCACTTGTTGGCATTATTCTTAATTTGAACATATTTCTAATTTTTTATTATTATTTCTTTTTTGGTATTTATAAATGTACAACATATCACTATCATAGATAAATTTATTACGTTATGGTTCATTATAATTTAAGTTTAAATAACTAAGCATCAGATCATCCAAACAGGAAGAATTACAATGAAAATATTTATTTTTCTTTGTAACAGCTTTTTCGTACACCAATTGGTTTTTTCTGGGCCATTTTATTATAATAATAATATTATTTAATCTATAAAGAAACTCTAATAAGGGACGTTAAAGAAGCAATGCTTTGTAAAATTGCCCCTTTCTCTCTTTCTCTACATTTTTTTCTTGAAGAATTGTTCTAAGAAGGTGTTATTACGGCTCTTTACGAATAGATGACAATTTGAATTTTTAAAAAAAAAATATATATACATATATATAATTTGCAATGAATATGACATTTTAATGAAAATCCTTTGTGCCACTTACTAAACCCTCGATATATCTAAAAAGAGTTTTTTGCATTTGTTTTTATGTGGAGTATTTTATTATCTGGTTGGTCACATTTATTTTTGTGCGTTACGCATAAGCATAATTTTGTAAATTTAGAGGCCTTAATCGAAAAAAAAATTATATTTGCAAAATATTTCCGTTTCCCTTTGTTATAAAAAAAATTGAATATTTTTTTCCTTTGAGAAAAAAAAAATGATGACGAAAAAAATAATTATAATAAACAAAAATTGAAGATTTTGTACTGCTACATTGCATTCATAAATATTTCCAAGGAAGTCGCATATACTAAAACGAGGGAAGAATGCAAAAGGTAGATACTTAATCTGACTTAAAAAAAATCAGACGATTTCCGAGCATCTTTTCTGAGAAAATGAGTTCAGTTATGTTCTTTTAAATACTTATATATGTGATTCGGGAAAATATGTTAAAAATACTTTATCCAATACAACTACGTCAAAATCTGGCGATTGACGAAATCGGGTTTATGACCATTCCGTTTAGTTCAGAGCATTTTTAGTCAAAGCGTGACGGGGTCAATTAATAATGTACGACCGGACGAAACCTTTTCACACAAAATACCTGCCAATAAACAGGTATCAATTGTTAATGACAGGTGTATTGATTTCCTGGTCCAGGTATACATCGCAGGGGTCAATGTAATATTATTACAAATATAAATGTATTACACAACTCATCCAACCAAACGTGATTTAGGATTCATTTGGAAATCTCATGAAAATTTTATTCTTAGAGAATGTCACATATTTTAAAATAAATTTGCTATATAAGAAACATTTTTTCCCTTATTATTAATAAAAAGCGCCAAAAAGTTTTGTTCTTTAGCGCAATGGATTTTTTTAAACCGATATGAATGTATGATTATTTGCTGTTTCTTTACTTTAAACATATTTTATTGAGTATAATTCATTTCTCAATGCCTATGTAATTCCTTTATAATTGGTCAAATACAAATAAATAGTAAATAATACATGAACATGATAATCAATAAAATTATAATGAAAAATAAAGATTCACAATCAGGTATTATTTATCAATATTATATCTCAAAAAAAAAAAAAAAATGACAACCCCCTAACTGTATGCATATTATTTACATACTGTTCCAGCTTAAAAATAATACCAATATTTGAAAAAAAATTATGCATTTAAAAATATTTGATATAACAGTGTCCCTAATTTAGTCTTTTAGAAGATTTAATAAATTCTTGTACATGTGAAAATATTTTACAATTTCTTTGATAAGAGTAAGATTTTCCTCTAAGTAGAGCATTAAAAAACAACATCAATATCATTTAATTTTTTTATATGTTTCTTTCAACATTATACGTCAGTTGATAAAATAATGTTCACATGAAATCCACACTTTTGACATGATTGAATATCTGATAAAAAATGATTTTTTAAATGTGCATTAAGATTACTAGCATTGTTTCAAAAAATGCAAAAATTACCAAAGTTAAAGTAAAAGGTTTATTAGTTAAGTTTTGCTTTAAAGATAGCTAATGAAGGAGAGTTTTTTACATCTTCATTTTGTTTTACGGTTGATGGAATAAAACTATTATAGTATGACTATAGTATGACATTGTTTTACAAACTGGTATACATAAGTTATTACATCCAGACCTTAAGTTGTAAGCTGTTTCTTTATAATTTAAATAAAATTTCTCTTAAAATTCTTTACAAGCATGAAGATCAAAAACACCCTGAATGTATAATATCATTTAAGCATATTGTATTAATATCATAATATCCGAAACACTGCAAAAAACGGATTATGTCTCACCCGCATTGATAATGAATAAATCCCATTAAAAAACATGTTCAATGTTATATTCAAATTAGTCAATTTAGACATGATATTAGTTTAAAATAAGCACATATAGGGCAAAAAATATAAATAAATAAATAAAAATTATTCACGTGCAGTTTTTCAACATTTTGTTTGTTTTTAATTCAAACGAGGTTTTCATGGAACTAGCCTACAAAAATTGATCCAAGGTTTACAAGGGAATTACGTTTTACATCAGTGGAAAGAAGTAAGAATGTTATAAACTTGCAGGTATTTCGATATCATTTTATTATTGTTTTTTTTTTCAATTTTGATCAATTGGGCATCATACTTTGCTCTCGAAGTATAAAAAACATAAAATCAAATTATATGTGTGTATTTTTCGGTGAACCGTATTTTTTAAATAAAAGTCTTCAATCATAAATGTTTCTTTGCCTGATAAGACAATTTCATTGCCAAAAATATCATCAAAAATGGATGCATGGATTGGACTTATTTTAGTTGAAATGATGCAAAGATCAAATTTTTAATTTAACTTATTTAGAAAAGGTAAACTTAAAACAATGTTCAAAATCCTACCTTTTGCTTTCTTCTTTATAAATCAATATAAATATTATTTTAGGACATCATTTCGATAGTCGAAATGAAAATTAAAAAAATCTATGCAGCTATTTTTTTTTTAATTTTACTTATATAAAAATGATTAAGTTGCTATTTTCAAGATTTTTTAATTGTTTGTATCATCTGTCAAGCAAATTGAATATATAGAATTTTAATAGCAAAGCATACTGATTTAACTTTTATTCTAAATAGTAATTAGTAAATATTATATATTTAGATGAATTTCTTTTCCATCGGAGCAACGATTAAAGTTTTCCTCGTCATTGGTTCAAACTATCGAAAAATAAAAATCTTTTGAAGTTTTTGACGTTAATGATTTCGTTAGGTCCTTCGGAACCCCTCCCGCGGTGCGTTTCTCGTCAAGTTTAGTTCCATCTGTCAAACAAAATTTCCCTCGTTTGTTTCTAGCACGATTTTTTGGTACAAATATTGATAATTTTCTGACTAGACCCCTTGTTTATTTCTCAATGGGGAATTCAAGCTTTTAATTATGGTCAATTCTGTCACTCTCATAGAATCGTCTTCTCTAATTATGAGATCTGTTAGAACCTTTTCTCGAGAATCAGAACACTGTTTTAAGTCTTTATACCATTTAAAAATATTTTCGAGCATGAAATTCTGAAAAAAAATACTGAAGGAACTTTTTGTCTATTTATTTTGATTTTTAAGTTATGACATTAGTATCACAAATTTAACATTTAATCACGGGGTATTATATATAAAATCGAAAATTCGGGACAATTTAATTTTTTAATCAAGTCGCCACTCAAATCAAAACCACCTTCGTCAAAATTTGTAGTAGCCCCCCCCCCCCCCCCCATTTGATTTTGACATTTCTGTGCCGATCTTCTCCTCGAAATAAATATATATAAGCCCCATGTTGTAAAACGAAATAACAGACCGATATAGTTTTTCTCCTTAACATAGACATATACCATATAAATGAATTCTTCTAAATACTCTAAATACCAGTAAAAAATAAAATAATTTATTTTTACCTGTATTCTGGCCTCGTTGAGTTTTGTAATCCTGGCCAATTCTTCACGGCAGTAAATGTCAGGGTAATGGCTTTTGGCGAACGCATTCTCTAATTCTTGAAGCTGTTCCTGTGTAAATGTGGTTCGGTGGCGGCGTCGCGCGGGAGTAGGACACGCCGCTGGATTCGAACTCCCACCGCTAATTCCGGAATTGGTGGTTCCTGAACCAGGTTCATGCTTTATTTTCTTAAATGCGCCTTCGGGACCTTTGAAAAACAAGAAAAATAATTTTCTTCGAAGATATGAATAACAAATAAAAGTATCTAGAAGACAACATTCAAGAAATGTTGCGGAGTTAAAAGTTGGTATAATTTTTTTTTTAACCCGACAACTTTTTAATTTCTCAGATAAAAATCAACAAACGTCTTACAGCAATGAAATATAACTAAACAAGCAATTCTGAAGAATTCAAGATATATAAAGCAACGCTAAATTAAATTGCAAAAGCAATTTTGTCAAATTTATTGAATTCTCTTCACGTCTCTAATTATTGTATGGTCCCCACAAAATTCGATAAAAATACTTACCATGGTCGCCACTGCAAATTCTATCAAATTTTATTAATCTTATTCGTTCACATCCAAAACAAATTATGTGGGTCTCTTGAATCTAAAATTTAGTTAGTCCAAACTTCAGTCAACAAAACATTCCGGGTTGTGACAAATTACCTGTAATTTTCCGAATCTTATAGAAAAATTCGCCCCCAATACCGTTACAATAGTCAAATTGTTACTCGTAATTTATATCTCTATCGTAACTAAATCAAGAGTCCCTAATTTAGAAGTATTGTAAATTAAATGTAATTATATACCTAGATATGTAACAACCCACCTGATAGTTCGATGCTTTCCATTTTCAATTCCGTGATTAATGGGGTAGTTGTAAATTAGGTTAATTCACAAAACTTATTAGTGGTCAACTAAATTGAATTCAGCTGCGTTGATGAACAAGGTTACTAAATACCTACCATTAGGGTCAGAGAGGTTCCGAGTACTTGTACCATTGTCCAAATTATAAAGCGCAGAAAATTCATCGAGTTTTCTCTTGCTCATACCATCTTCTCCATGCTGAATTCTATCGTCCGTCATTTTTTAGAGAGTATTTTTTAATGGTATTTTTATTATTGTTATGTTGGAGGACGAAAATTAAATGTCTAATATAATTTTCTTATCTGTTGATTTATAGTACGACGTTTGGAGACTTTTTTACCTAAAGACCGTCGGCCAATCAAATTACGCGAAATCGCTATCAGAATACTAACGACATATATTGCTCCAAATTGATCGCTGATTGGTTCGTTCAGATTCAAAGAGTTTGCCGAATAATTATTATAACTAGAGGGCGTTACCAAATTATGGTACCAATATTGATTTTGTCGAATATTTATTATGACATATGATCTTTTTCGTTTACCAATTTCTTTTTATTAGGTTTCACATTAAAAATTTAACCATTAAGTATGCTAACGTGTATTCATAGCTCATTATTTCACGATCTTCTTTAAATTCAGACAATGAAAAAAAAAGAAGAAAAATCACAAGATTGTCATTTTGAAAAAAAGAATTTTGCAGAAATTAAAATGACTGTTTAGACATTGCAACTGATAGTCAGAAAACTTTCTTTTGGGTTTATAATTGGAAATATACTCAACTTATAGAACTAAAATATCCACAAATTGCATGAAGAAGAGTGAAATTGCCTTCGATTATCCAGATGGCCAGCTTCAATTGCTCTAAAGAGGGGGTTACACTTTCTACCAGAAATAGAGTTCTGGTGTTAGGAAAATCACCCCCTTAACACGCACGAGGTTACCCCCAACCAGCGGTCACGATAAGACATAAAAGGACCCAGGGAAGTCAAATCTCGGGAACAAATCTTGTGCAATTTTTACACCCTCGGAGGTTTTCAGAGGCTTACTTCATACGAACAACATTCAAATCAGTAACCGGAGTATATATGTACCATTTATCTCTCTACTAAAAAAAACTGTAATAACTGAATTCTAAGGCACGTTTCACCTACTTTAATTTCATACAAATTCAAATGAAGACATCAATTTTCATAGTAATTTACGCCAAATACTCTGAAGAAAATAGCAAGACAAAATAAATTTCAATGTAAATATTTTATGAAATCAATATCATAATTTAACATTTTTTATTCATAAATAAGTTTTGTCTCATAGTGACTACATTTTTCAGGTATGTGATGGACCTAAATTGGACCTTGCCGACAGGTAGAGAAATAGGTGGACTCAACGCAGATGTCCCACCCGCTGTTTCACAATTAGGTCATAAAAATAGTGAGGAACTTTGAAACTATTTTTGTATATAGCGTACGTGTATCTCAAATTTTAGAAAATTCTGAAAAATCTTTTGTTACTATAGAATTGCGTACATTTTAGGAGAATACTCAAAAGAGCCCAAGGTAATGCTTGAATCATACAAACGTCGGTACCTTTTTAATCTATTATCCAAAAACAAAATTCCGTAAAAAATAATTATTGTCCAATCTGTCTAATAGCTACTTTTGCTTTATCACCCAATTACTGTGTTTGAAGAAGACACATGTTTAACGTTTGTTACGGTCAAATTAATTGGATTATTTAATTGAATTAATTGGCCAATAGAGCACACGACCGTTATCAAAGCGGAAGGTGGTGAATAAGTATTGTAAAAACAGATGTTCATTGTACATTGTAGATAAATGTACTGGAAGCATGAATGCTATACGATATTATTAACTTTCCTAGTTTATTTTTCATCTTTAAATATATAAACAAGAGAAGAATTGGACGGGAGTGGAACATTTCCAAACATTCTGTGGATACATTTGACACGGGAGTAAATAAAAAGGATCTGGAAGCAAATATGCAAATAGCATCTCTCTCCCAAATTTATAGTAAAAGTATAATATTTGCATATTAAATTTGGAATAATAGGAGAGAAATACGTACAAGTACTGTATATAAAAATTATAGCAACAAACCCATTTAAATAGACGAAAAATATAAACATATTTTTCGAAGTTTACAAAAGTAGTATGTTTGTGTCTTTAACCTTTACGCGTTTTCAAAAATTACATTTATGTATATACATAACTCTAAAATCAAATCCGCTGTTAACTTTATTTGCATTCTTTCCAATTTAATGACAAGCAATGTACAAGTGTAAATATTTTAATTCCAAGATTCTGTAAATGATTATTTTGTCTTCATACAGAAAAAATCTCAAAGAATTATATTATCGGAGGTAGTATAATATACCGATAGTTCTTTAAGATCTTTGTCGATACTTCCGTATACGATCATATCATAATATCCATGTTGGCAATTTACTTTGTATTTGATTTTATCCCAAATTAACTCTTTTTGTAGTTTAAAGTTTTAAGCTAGAGGATGTACAATATAACTTAAGCCGTAGAAGATACTGTCTCCTTCAGTAGCTTCGTTGATTATTTAATCAATAATTCGAGACAGCATCGCTGTAATCTAAAACAAGAAGGATAAGTGAAAAATTATAGTTAATATTAGCTTAATATTTATTTTTTAAATTGATAATTTTATACATTAAAACTCCTTTAATATGCAATTTCATTTTTAAAAAGTGATACAAATTATGAATCAATCATTAAGAAGAATGTACTTTCTTAGATAAAAGAATTAAACACATTCATCCAAAAATTACATGCAATTGTCGCACAATTTGTCAAGAAAATTTCTTAAATTATTTTCTTGACTTCTACAAGACGGAGGCCAATACATTCTATATGAAAGAGAATATTTGGAGGTAATTGTCTTGATTGGCTCCTAACGAGTCCTAAGAAAATTACACAGGTCTACTGAACATGGATGATTTATATAATAGCGAGAAAAACCAGAGGGCCCATTGCTCAGTCTTAACTGGGTTGTTATCCAAATTGCATTCCTATTTCTCATTTAGTTTTCTCGATTTCTCATGAATACCAATAAGTAAGCAAGATTTTGAACAATTTACGTCTTTCTTCCCCTCTTCGATGACTTAAATTACTTGGCTCGCTTTTTTTAATTTCCTGGACCTAACAATGTGTTGAAAAACACACAATGATTTCTTATTCATAAAAACACGATAGATATCTTAAAATATTAACTAAATTGAACTGGGGATCTTTGGAAATAATTGAGCATGAAACAGAAGATAGTGAAAATTATTTAGAAGAGGAAAGAAAGACGCAGAATTAAACAATAATAAAAAAATATTACCCCCTCCAAGTTATCCCTCAATATTAGATTAAGACATTGAATCATTCTTTAAAAATATTTACTGTTCTTTTCTGACATAAAATTTGACAACTGAAAATAAATGAATAAAAAATGTAAATACAAATATTACGAATATATATATAATTCAAGACTGTATATAAACATCAGTATCACGTTGAAAAAGGAATTACAAGAAAAAAAGAATTAGAAAAAAGGAGCATTTCATCTGAATGTAATAATTTCTGTTCAAACCCTGCAAAAGAGTTTTAAAAACTTTCATATAGAGAGTAAATGATGCAAATATTAAAATTCTAAATCATTAAGAAATTGTAAACTTTCTGATGTTTAAAATTCTACTTTTATGCAACTATTCTTTTAAATCTATACACATTTTTTATACCCCGGATCGCAAGATCTCGGGGATATATTGCATGTTTTGTCCTGTCTGTCTGTTGTCAGCTTTAACATAGCCCATAACTTTTGAGTGGATGGAGATACGATTTTTATATTTCATTTCACAGGTGTATTCCTTGTGACAAGACTCTTCTTTGGGATACCAACAAATATGACCTCTTGACCTTAAAGTTTGATCCACTTAAAAAAAAAAAACAACAACAAAATTTAACATAGATTTAAAAAGTTTTGAACAGTTTGTGCTATTGCTTTCGTACATCACATGCGTATTCATTGTGACAAGACTTTTCTATGGGTATAAATATTTTGACCTTTTGACCTTGATCTTAGAGTTTGACCCACTTCTTAAAATAATTATATTTGTCCATAACTTTCGAACAGTTGCTCAAGGGCTTTCATATTTCACAGGTTTATTCCTTATGACAAGACCTTCCTTTGGATACCAACAATTTTGACTTTTTTGACCTTGAAATTTGACTTGCATTTGAGAAACTTCAACCCTCGCCACAAGCTGCGTGCGGGGACATCAGTGTTTTACTATAAACCTCTTTATCGTGAAATTTCGAATAAAATATTAAAATCTATGCAGAAAAAAATTTTCATTTTCCCTTTCAAAATTTTTTTTAAATTTAAGTGAGTTCGTATCATCAGTCCTTCTGATCAAAACAAAGATGAAACACATATGCATACCCAATTATACGGAAGCATATAAGTGCCACGCAAATTGGAATTACCAACTTTAAAGTTGTAAAAGCCAAGGAGAAAATTGGAATTTCCAACTTTAAAGTTGGAATTACCAACTTAAAAAAATATTGCGTGGCACTAATACGCTTCCATAATATTAGCTTTCAAATCCATAATTTTTTTTTTTAGTTAAACATTCAAAAATAATGTTATTATCACAATGAAAAAAATTGTCTGGGAAATTTTAAATCAGTAAGATTCAGTCTGAGCTCCCATATATTTATCTCCCGATATCTCTTCTTCGTGATTTTCCAGAAAATCGTCTGCAGCTCGGAGTACCTGACGCAGATTGTACAATGTCAGTATCTTAACCTCTTTCGAGACAGTTCGAGAGTTTGCGAGATTTTGCATCGGAAGAACGGTATAGGCAGGCAACCCAAACGACATGGCGACTTTGTCCCTCATCTCCAAGACGCTTTTGCTGTGAAATACTTTAGATAGTTCTTCCTTTGCAGTTGCCATCGTATCAACTTTGGTAAGCAGGATCAACTGCGGAATTTCTAGACAAAATAAAATTTTGTCATAACTCAATAGATATATACTACATGTAATTTTGCGAGTAAAATTGCCACCACAAATCAAATGTTGAGTTAATTATATATACAACGATTTCTCGCAATTTCTTTTTTAAACAATTTAAAAGCGCAACTTACTTCTTCTATTCATCATTTCTTGGAGTTCTTTCACTTGTTTTTCAACGTTCTGAGACATTGTTATTTCAGGTGGATTTGAACCATCAACCACAAAGATGACACAGTGGATACGATCAACAAAGGTGGGATTTTTTCTGAACTTTGGATTATCTTTTGTAATCGGTGTACTTTGATTAAACTAAAAAATATTAAGGTTTAGATTAAAATATATGTATTGTGCAAGTGTAAAATTAATGTTCACAGTTAAACTTCAAATTTTTCAATTTTGAGTAATAGAAATTTGAACTTCACACAAATCTCTTGGTGAAAATATGCACAAAGTCTCTCTATTAGAATATAAAATAAAATGATCACAGATAATTTTGATATAATAAAATTTTTCTTCCTTTCATCAAGGACAAAAAAACTATGTTATTAGTCTTGTAAATTTGGTTTATGTTACTTTCACCATTATTTAGAAATACATATTTAACTAATAAAAATGCTCCAAAATTGTTCCATATTCCTCAATTATACATTGTACTCAAAATATAAACCTTGTCACAGCGCAAGAACACGAATTGTGAACAATAATACAAACCACATATCCATCCATCACGTGACCATCCAGAATTGCCTCGACATCGCGAGAGTTCACACTCTGGTCCTCTTCTAAACCACGACAATCAACCATTCTAAAGTTTAGGGTGCCAGTGTTTTTTCTCCCCTTTACTTTGTAAATATCAATCTAGAATTAAAGTTCATTTCTTTAAAAAAAAAGAAGTCAGTGATTAGACAATAAGTCAAAGACATATACATGATGTAGTAGAGAAAGTAAAGAACTTTTGTTTATAAATCAATAGCAATTGATGTACCTAATTTTATGTAATTTGTGATTAGGTATATCTAGGTAAACCTACTGATTTTGTTAAGCTAGAACTTGCACATCCGGCACGTGACCTAAGCGATAACCTCCCTTTGAACACAGAGTCCACGGTATTGAAGAAACTGGATTTTCCCGATGAAATACGCCCTAATAGTAAAATATTGACGTGTGGAATATTTGAATGATTTCCAATTTCTGCCAAGGGCGTGTATTTCTCTATTTCCGTCAGAAGACTATCCAAGGACTATAGCAAAAAAAAAATGGAATAATATTATGATTTTAATCTTTTTATGAAAGGCACAAACATAACTTAGTCAATCTTTATTGTATTGCTGTTGAAAATACCACATTGTTAAATGTAAAACTTCTTATTTATGTATTTGATAACATAGTACAACGTCAAAATAAACAAACATATTTAGAGTAGATTTAAAAAAGTTAATTATCAAACTACATGTACTTTAGGAATATGCACTAAATCACTTTAGTATATATTAAAATAATTATATTTTATCAGCACCAAACTTTCATTAACAGCCGGTTTCTTATATCTACAGGAGAAAAAAGCATGTGCTTTGGATAAAAACAAGTACATAATATATTACTGTAGGTCAGCGTATTTGACTTACATGATGTTTTGTATGTTTTTTAATTCTTTTAATAACATATATGCCATAATAAACAAGTTTCAAACCCAAAAGCTATAACAAACAAATTTCTTACCAAAGTCTCGTCTCCATATGAGTGAAAATTCTCGAGAGGGAACATACAATTAATCAATTAATCAAAAAAAATTAATTAAAACAAATATAAAACTGTTTTTTCCAATTTTTTTTATTATTGATTATCCAAAAAGAAAAAAAAAATATTTTTCAACATTTCACCTTTTCGCTCCAGTCAAAGTCATCCATTTCCTGCCAAGGTGTCTGAAGTAAATCATCAGAAATATCGGTTGGTGGTTCTTTTGATCTGTAATATATTAAAGAAGGAGAAAAACAAATTTTAATACATCCCCACTAAATACATATATCCTTAACTTCAATTTCTCATAATATTTTCATTTCAAATGCTTATAAACAATGTTTATTGAAAGATCCATTACAAACAGAGATAACAAACAGTGCTCTAGCTCAAAATCAATTTTTCAATACAATGCGGGAGCAAACACGGACCTCCGAATTTATCAGAAGTGGGATCATGTGCCTTGGAGGAATGAGCATCCCCTGCCAACCGCTCATACACGCCGTGCGCTCCTCCTTGTCATGGTTGGGGAAAAATGGGAAAAAGTAAAAAAACCCGTAGACAAATCAGTGTATGTATAAGTAATGGCCTAACAAAAATTGCTCTTGTGAGTTACAAAGGGAAGTTTTCAGTTGTTTTGTTTTTTTTCTACATAAGATTTAGGTTTAATACCGATATTAGAAAGGACATGTTCATACAAACTAATGAAACTATTTCCGATATAACTGCAGGACAAAAAAGCACTCTAAATACTGCGACACGCAGACGACTCTATACAGGGGACAGTATAACGGAAGTATATTCTCGTTAGTTTCTAGAAATGGTTACGTTTGTGGATAGAGGAGATTGTGTTTGCCGATAAAGTAATTGTATCAACCATAGAAACAATTATTATGATACATATAATTAAATTCTAATAGAGTACAATGTATATTAAAGGTAACAAAAATAAAGTAACTTTTAAATTACTGCATGCTTATAGAAATATAAGATGCAAGTTTGATGGTGAAAAAACATGATGTTTTAAATTACATAGAGATATATCATAATAGCATGTTTAAATAGCAAAATTAAGCTCATATTGCTTTAAAACTACCGTTTTATTTAGCCTAGGTTATCATTATAATATTTCTAGAGAGAGAACATGTAAAAGTAAAAGATATTTGACAGTTTTTTAAGCTTACGTGACAGTAGAGTTCGCCATTATGCGCCCGAGAGAACAATGTATCTTCCTTTACTTTAAAGATTTAAATGTTAAGTTCGCTTACTCCTTCAAACTTTCATTTGACCTAGAGAGTGGTAATGTAAGCGCGTCTGGTTCTGATGGGCGTCTATAAAACTCAAGAGGTGTTTTCTCTTATAGTTATTCGATGTTACTTACAGGGATATGAATGAGAATGTAATGACTAAAGAGTAATTTATATTAGAAAGATGACAAGGCCTGTTCTAAGAATAGAAGAGATAAAATATTTGGAAGGAGATGAAATTGAACAGAAAGCGAAACTGGACAGAATTTTGATTTAAGATTAAGCCCAAATGAAACATTTTCAGTCATTATTTAAGATGATTTTAAGTGTATGGGTATTAGCTATTAGTAATGTTGATTATATATTCTTAATGCAAAGTTACATTATGTATTTTATCTTAAATAATTTGTAAATTGTAAGAGCCAATACAAAAAAGAAAATGAACAGTGAAGAGGCCTTCGTTTTTCGACTATGAAAAGTCTAATTTAAAAAAATCATATTAACGCGTAACAATTCAAGAAAATTTTTGCTGCACAAATTATATATTTTTGTGAAAAAAATACTGCTTCACTCAATTTATTTTTTGGAAATAAAAAAATGAAAATTCCATAAACGCACAACAAATGAATGCAAAACATTTAGCATTAAAATATATATCACGCAATATAGTATTTCTTTTTATAGCCTAAATATGTAAAATATCAAATGAAACTTTGTAAATTATTTTAATGTATTTTCTGAAAACCCTTCCTAATAGTATGTGACCCATACGAAAGCTGATATGGGATCAAATGTACACAGATTACCTTATGCGTCACCAATTTTATTAAGGTATAGGCCCCTATAATTAAATAGCATTTTTACACAAAAGGAGCATAATATCTGATAAAAATTTGCTTGATATCATTGTAATGTTTAAGAGAATATGAGATACACCTATTATAATAATGTTTATATTGAATTCCTTCTTTCGATTGAAAAAAATCGATTTTTTGTAAAGTATTTAATACTTATTAAAAATTGAAGAAAGGTTTAAAATTAAATACATATGGATATAATGAGCACCTTTCAAGCTCAAATACCAAATAAAAAAATACAAATAAGGAGCAAACAATAACATAAGAGGTGGGATCAGGTGCCATAGAGAAGAAATCATATCCTGTAGACTGGTCATATTAACCGCCGTGTGCTCCTTGTCATGATCTGGTAAACGGAAACTTAATCATCAGAAATTTCAGCGTGTAAATAATGTCCTCAGCTTATATATAAAACAATGTTCTCAGTTATCAAGTAACATGCATTGACTCGGTTATATGTCAGTTTGCTCGAATCTTCCAGCAAAAATTCCGCCTAATTATGGCTGAAATATTGCCGACTTGGCGTTAAACAATATAAAATCAATCCAGCAAAAATTGGTTCTGTCAGGGTTTTTTTCTAATAGTTTTCAACACATGCCTGATGTCATTGGCCAACTTAAGTATAACGGCAATCCTTGGTTAGAGAGCATTGATTGAAAACATTCTGAATTATGATGGATATGTATGTTAAAGATGACAACTTTGAAACAATGAAACATTTTTCCAATTTATTTATTTCATAAAAAAAAGAAAATATTATCACAACACATAATACAATCAGCATTATAATTATGTATTTTTTAAGCATTCAGTTTTAACAATCGATACATATTTTAAGATTTTATTCAATTTAAATCTTTTTTTTATCTTATTAATTTGCCACTGAAAATTACGGTTGTTTTGTCAGTTTTTTTGTGCTCCACAAGAATTTGGAAGATGCAATTTCTTTCAAAACCTGGACATCATTCAAATAACGGGGGTTATTTTATTCTTGGGGATTCGGTGTTAAAATTATTTTTTTTAAGCAACTAAAGATCCAAAGTTGTGTTAGGAGAGATTTTGTTGTTTAAATGAAATATGTAGGCCTACTTAGTATTTATCTTATTGGAATGATATTTAATCAATATTCTCATACATGTATTTACATTTTATGGTATGCTTTGCTGCATAATGTAGTACTTAATTTCTTGTTAAAAATAAAAAAAATATTGTATTACGAAAAAAAACCCAAGCGATAAAGTTCTGCTTTTATATTGCAGGATTTTTTTTTAATAACAATTGTAAATAGATAGCGTTAGATAGAAGGCAAAAACTAAACAATTACTGCATATTAGTCATAAACATATGTAAATTGAGAAGTCTTCCAAATTTTTGAAAATTGCATGAATTTTCACTGTGGATTTTCCTCGAATAGGTTAGTTTCGTTTTGAACTTCCCGACCTAGGTTTTTTAACACGTGACTTTAAAATGTTCTAGTTTCGTTTTCGTTTCTCTTACAAAGTACACTCGTAAGTTGATTATATGCAAGAACATAGATTTAATTGTTCGAATTATATGCTGTTTAACGTCCCTCTCGAGATTTTTTACTCATATGGATTTAATAGTTCTTAGAGGCTTTCTTGAGGGTTCATTTAATTTATTAATGTTTTATGTGCATATTTGTTTACCTATGAAAAATGTTTAGTTTCTTTAAAAAAGGTAAGTTCTGATTTTCTCCTCATTTTTATGAATACGTCTATACATAGATTTAAAATCAGAACACTTAGTACATGTACTTTGTTTTAAAGTGTTATAAAATGTACGATAATGAGTAAAGGAAATGTAATGTTGTCAATTGTAAATGTACTACACCAAAATTGTAAGGGTAAAAGTAACTCCTTCAAATTTGTAAATGTTACATCAAAATTGTATATGGTAAATATTACATAAGGATCTTCTCTACACCTTTAATTTTAGGGTTCTTTTGTGTAGATGGAGTGACCCAGCATTTGACATAGAATAGAATTTGACATGTAATTTGCACTGTATGGCATACTAGAAAATAAATCCAAGTATTTTAAACATTATATTAGACCAAGATAGAGTTGACAATACTAACTTACAATTTTATTTTTACAGCACCAACACAGAAGGACATGCCACGATTCACCGATAAAAAAGAAACTTTTTTGATAATAGAGAAGATAGAGGTAAATCTACAATATAAAACACAGATTTATTAAAACAAAATCACAAAATTTATTATTATTACAAAAAGTAATAATTTCATCATAATGTATATTTCTACTGAAAATCACTAAATGATTAAAAAAAAAATGACAAGATGATTATTATTACGAATAATTTCCCTGTATATTACGAAGAGATACATTAAAAAATATTCGAGCAAGGTGTATTCAGACATATAGTATTCCTGTTTGGCACGAGAACGTACTATGACGTATAAATAATTTTTGTTTAAAAAAGTAAATGTATAATTTTATATTGCATATTGTTTATATTGAAAGGAACTTCTAGGAGACCTTAAATCAAAGATCAGCAAGAACGAGTGTTCGAAGTGTGGAGTTGCTATTGTTGAGGAAGAGGGGTCAGGTGACTGTTATTACCCACCTCCACAAAAATTTGATCAAAATTCGAAAGGAACTGGAAAAGGGCAAACAGAGAAAGAAATTATTGATAAACAACGTAGAGGGAGCTACGAAACTGAATTCTCGAGAGGAAAAACTTCCAAAGACTATATAAAACAACTAGAGGAAGAAAAGAAGTTTTTAAACAGTAATTGTCAAAAGCTTAAAGAAGAAAACGAAAAGAGTAGTGATGTAATAGCTGATCTGAGGGAAACCCTTTCAAAGAATGAAAATGAAATTGCCAATTTTAGAGTAGAGTTGAAAAAATACAAAGAAAATGCACAAAATCTGAGAGACATTATTGCAAAAAAAGAAGAAAAAATAAAAGCATTAAATGACACAAATAAAGATTTCGAAGAAGAAAAGGCAAAATTGCTTCAAAGAATTGAATGTAAAGAAAAAGAAGGGAAATATCAAAATACAAAGCTTGAAGAATTGAGGAAACTGACAGATAAATATACAGCTAATAATAAAGAGAAAGGTAATAGCTAAGGAATAAAAACAAATTTTCAAACAATATATTACTGCCAATTAAAATGTAGATGCATTTTCCTATTACTCTAGAGCAACACTGAGAGATCATTTGTCTTTCATATGAGAGCTTGTTGGCACGTCATGGTCCTTATCTTTTAATTGCAACGGAAATTAATTTGATGAAATCATGTAATTTGGTTATCACATACATGTAACTGATGTCTTATGTGTATTTACCTTTAAACTAACTTGATGTATATTTTTGACTTATTGTCAAGAAAGTTTTCAATGAATTCTATTTAAATATAAATTAGGTACTAGTATGTAAAATCTTTTTTCAAAATACCTATTAAAAAGTATCCATTTAGCCAACCATTTGGTCTGGACCTTTGACCCACTTTTGAATCAAATTGTTTTGTTTCTATGGCATCAAAGTTTTTATTGTCATGTTAAGCTGAAATATATTTTGTAACTTTGATTTTTTATCCAAAGATAGAACAAACACAACTATTAGAATACACTGATAATTATTGCTTGTACTCCGCATGAATATAATTAATTTTACTTATATCCTTCTTTTGAAGAAAGCCAGATACAGAAATTAAACAGAACCATTGAAGGTACTATTTTATTTTAGGAAACAAGAAAAGAAAATAATAGCATTGTATATATTACTAATTTCATTAAAGAACTTGTAATAAAAAATGTAAATGTACAGAATACTTTTTTTTCAGAATTAAGAAATTCAAATCATCAACATAAATCGTCCCTATCTGTCAAAGAAAGAGAATTAAGCCAGGTAGAGGGTAAGCTACTATACTCACCTTATTCATCAAATCAGAAAAGTTCTCATGACCTATTTTCATTTTTATCATAAATAAAACGCAAACGTTATCTCTTGATTTTTTTAATCAAAGAGAGATGTAGAGAACTGAAGGTCCAACTCGAAATGAATTCCAGAAAAGAAATTAGTAAGTCTTCCTTCATTACATATTGAATTAATAATAGATTTATTGTTGTATTTCTTAATCTACTTACATTTTAAAAAGGTGTTGGATTTCATACAACACTTGCACCGGCCATGTCTTCTCTTATACTGGACGGACTGATGAAAGAACTAAGTGGCCGCTTAGCGGTGGAAAAGGTGGATCTGGTGAGACGGCCATTTTCCGGAAGTACAGATTTGAATTGTCCTCTGCTGGCTATCTGTGTCAATGTGTCAAGGATAGGGACGGATGCTAAAGAAGTTCTGAAGGGAATACCAAAAAGTATGTAGCTTTACAAGTTCAGTTTATTATCAAATGCTGTCAAAACTGCATTTGGTAAAAATCCACTATTTTGAAAAAACAAAACAAATGAATTTCAATCATTTTTACTTGTGACAAGATATCTCACAAATTAGATATTACGCCTATTTTGATTAATAGATGAGATTTTAATAATAAATGTTGATCATTATAGATAATGTACATTATAAATCTCTAAAGGGATAGATATATCAAACTGATGAACATACTTGTCTGAAACTTTTTTTCTGTGTAGATCTGAAGTGTATCATATGGAACACAATGCATTTAGCCATAGTGGCACTTATTTTAGTTACTTTTGGTTGTATTAAATTCTAAAAAGATGACTTTCACTGTGTTTTATTATGCATATAATATTTAGTGTATACTAATATGTACATGTATATTCTTGCTGAATCTGGATACCGTCATTTTTTTTTCACTTTTATAAAATGTACATGCATGCTTCTCTCCAAGTCTATAGTAAATTGTGGTGACTTTTTTCATATGACTTTCATATTTTTCTTTCATATGTCACCTTTGAGTACAATTAGTAAACGGACAAAATTACATGAAATAGAAAAAAAAAATATTGCATTATTATAGTACATGTAATTTATTGTCAAATGTACTTTTCCTTTCTTTTTCACAGCTAGCAACTTCAAGGACGTTGCACTTTTGGTTTTCCATCATAAAGAGGCCCATGCTCTACCAAGTCAGTCCAGTGACAAAATTCTCACTGGAGCAGATTTCAGTCATCTTGGTACTATTATAGATTTCGCTTTTCTATCTCAGAGAGGAATTTATGAATGTGACATGAACATGATGGGTATCGAACGAATTGCATCCTTCCTGCTACAGTACAAAACAAGGAAAACGTGAAACTTTGTCTGAATTCCTAAATGGGGCTTGGGGGGGGGGTCAACAAATAAACCATCAGATATAACTTTGTTTTATGATAATGTATCTTAGGCTGTCAACAATCATTTTGGCAGAGAATCATACAATTTAGTTTAAAAATTTGATCATTTTCGTTTATCTTTATATTGAGCTCTTTTTCTAAAGATTTCTTTAGTTTAAAATGGCTACAACCACCCAGCTCTCTAAATCAGAGAAAAAAAGCCTTATCATATAATTAACTAAAATGTTTGAAAATGTTAATCAGACAAAACACATTTTCCTAAATTTTATTTAATTTTATTTTTTACGATATTTACACTTACTTTCAATTTGTAAAAAACAGCAAACAATATGAAAAGAATCATGTCATTTTATGTCATAATTTGTATCCTTATCATTAAAAAAAACTGCAATTAAAAAGCAAAGTAAAATATCTGTCAATTTATTTTTTTAAACAAAACCTTCAACTCGACATTTTGATATATCGACGACGTATTATCAATTAACATTAGTTACTTCCATTCACATGTCGACTCGATATATCCCATTGAGCTTGAAATAAAAGATACCACGTAAAGTCAAAGACAGGCAAATTCCAGCAATTGAAAAGAAATAACAAAAAGGCTAGAGAAATGTCCATCCCTGACTTCTTTTCCTAACAGATTGCTTGGGGAGCCCCCACCTCCAAGTTTAAAACAGTTGCTATTGACCGTTAATTGTGGAAATTTGAATACACAATGTACAACTTTAACACATGTTTGCAGATTTATTTTGGTTAAAATACGTTGAATTAAAAAAACCCTGCTGTAAACATGTTTGTGATTTTATCTGTTGCAGAGAATAAACATATCTAAAGTGTTTAAATCTTTATGTGTTGAACGTTTTTAGCTCTACTGGTCAGAGACCAGAAGAGCTTATGCGATAGTAATGCGTCCGTCGTCCGTCCGTCTGTCTCTCTGTCCGTCTGTCTGTCTGTAAACAATTTTTCAAAATGCTACTCATCCTACAGTTTTGATCCGATTTCAATATAACTTGGCACACAAGTAGACTACACTAAGATACATAATTCTATGAATCGGTTTTTTGATTTCGATGAACGGTGTAACCGTTGTGACTAAAAATAGAAATATCTGTGAAATGCTTTCGAAATGCTACTCCTCCTACAGTTTTGGTCTGATTTCAGTATAACTTTGGCACACAAGTAATACACTAAGATACATAATTCTAAGCATCGGTTTTTGATTTCGATGAAAGGTGTTGCCGTGGTTACTAAAAAATAGAAATTTCTGTGAAATGCTTTCACAATGCTACTCCTCCTACAGTTTTAATCTAATTTCAATTTAACTTGGCACACAAGTAGACTATACTAAGATACATAATTCTGCGCATCAGTTTTTGATTTCGATGAAAGTTATTGCCATGGTTACTAAAAATAGAAATATCTGTGAAATGCTTTCAAAATGCTACTCCTTCTACAGTTTTGGTCTGATTTCAATATAACTTGGTACACAAGTTGACTACACTAAGATACATAATTCTTTATATCGATTTTTGATTTCAATGAACGTTGTTGCTGTGGTCATTAAAAATAGACATTTCTGTGAAATAATTTTAAAATGCTTTTACAAATACAGTTTTATTATTATCATAATGTGGCATGGCATGTAGATGTACTATATTAAGAAACGTTATTGTCTTTATTTTTTTTTAAATTTATTTTTATGAATGATATTGCTATGGTATTAACTAAAATTGGAAATTCTTTAAAATTTTATTAAAAGCTACTCTTACAGTTGTAGTCTAATTGCAGTATGGTCACAAAAATTGACTTAATCAAGGATCGTTTTTCTATTTATTGCTGTTTTAAAGTTTCAAGTCCCAACTGAGCTACCTTTCTCTTCCTTTGTTATAAGTATAAACCAGTAGAGCTACAGTCTCGACAGAGACTTCTGGTTAAACATAAAAAAACCTGAAATATTTAAGTTTAAAAAACACTACGGTGTTTATTCAGTGAATTCATTGTGTTTATTAACTGTATAATCTTTAAACATTTTTTGTTCATGATGTGGTTTGTATTTGAACAGAATTGAAAAAGTGTCTCCATGTTTTTCGTATTTAAACATTTAGGTGTATACTAGTATACGAGGATTGTCCCAAAAAGTCGTAGACAGGAAAAGCAGTTTATTTTCTCTTTGTTGAATTAAATTTCTTTTCTTCTCATAACAAAGAGTAACATTATATGATCATGCATTTCAAATTTCATATAATGATATCACATTTAATAACGAAATTATGAAAAAAATAAAGAAAGCATGTAAGTGTACATCGGCGCACGAAAGCAAGCGTAATTTACGTCTCATAATGTCATGATCTCTTTTTCTGCTTCACTCGCGTCTGTTAATATTCATTATTTTTTTTAAGTGAAAGACCACTCTTGACTAATGGACTTATATAAATTCACTACTGTCAGGTTTTTTGTTGTTTTTTTAAGCAGATTCAAATTTTAGTCGAATTTAGTCGAAAGATCGCCATACATTGTAGGTAGCAGATGACGTCGTTCGTGGCCCAGATTGTTCCCCGTTGTCTGCGTACTTAACAAACAGTACTCTACTTCTTACATGTTGTGACTAATTTCGGTATAGAGTAAAAACTCTCAGTGAATCCCATGTCATTTAAAAATAACTTCCCTATTAAAATCTAGTGTGTAATGTCACTTTTGTACTTTTTTCCCCGTCTCTAATGTATACAAATTATATTCAAAACAATTTATTATATATCCGTGCGCCGGTTACGCGTTTGACGACGTCATTTTCATTAATAAAACACAATTCCAACAACATTTTGAAAATCATGACACCAATCGTCCGTTTCCAATGCTATTTATACTAAATTTTGACATATTATTAAGATTTTTTATTCTGATTTCACTGATTTAAATTTGACTTCAATGTTTTACATAGTACTAAAGAAATAAAAGCAAATGCAATAGTTATATGCGAAAAATATTTCGAATTTCGCTCGTCCGCCGACAGACCTTATCGTCCCTCATATAACCCGTCCTAATATTATAAATATGAAAGATATATATTTCAAAATCCGCAGTCTTAACGGACATTGAATATGTTATGTTTATGCAAAATTTGGTTAGTATTGGTTGCATGTTTTAAAAGTTATAAACATTGTCTACGACGTTTTGGGACAACCCTCGTATATGTAAATAAACAAGAAACGAATAAACGATAACTTTTTTTTTTTTTTTTTTTTTTACCTCGGAAGGTTAATATGACATTACAGTATATTAAATTATATTTACAATCACTCAATATCGTTTCCTTGATCTTTTTATGAAGACTTTGCCATTAATCAGTGCATGAACAACACTAAGCAAGCCACGTGCGTACATTTCTTGAACAATGGCTGTTCCATCAGTTATGAATACAATTACATATTCATCTTAAATACAATATTTAAACAAATTTAATTTTAATGATTTTAATAATACAGATGTAAATATAAACAATGAAAGGCTTTCTTTGATTGTTAGTACGGGAATTAGCGTCGCAAACAAGATGCAAATTTATATATCTAGTACAGATTCTTTTTTCATATTTTAAAGATATACAGTGGCGCCTCATTTATCCGGACGCTTTGGTTCCCAAGCAAATTGTCCGGATAAGTGAAGCGTCCGGATATCTGAATTCTATTGATTTCTCTTCCAGATATACTGTATTTGTATTGTAACTCTTATATACAAAGAAAGACATTAAAATGCTATCATTTAGAAATAATTAATTTTTTTTTAAACACTTATCTTTAGTATATATCAGCACTACTTTTACACTTTTTTCAAATACACTGTAAATTGTTTTAAAAAATTCCGATCAATCTACAAGTTTACTATAGCATAGCAACAATGAAACGGCAATTTTTACCCATTCAGGTTTTCTTGGGGGCAAAATATACCGTATCCTTTTTATCATTTCGAGGAATATTTTTGTCTTTTCTAATCTAATAAGAATTTGTCTGTGCTCCTTTATATTTATCTCCCGATATCTCTTCTACGTGATTTTCCAGAAAATCGTCTGCAGCCTGAAGTATCTGACGCAGATTGTACAATGTCAGTATCTTAACCTCTTTCGAGACAGTTCGAAAGTTTGCGAGATTTTGCATCGGTAGAACGGTGTAGGCAGGCAACCCAAACGACATGGCGACTTTGTCTCTCATCTCCAAGACGCTTTTGCTGTGAAATACTTTAGATAAGTCTTCCTTGACCGTTGCCATCGTATCAACTTTGGTTAGGAGGATCAACTGTGGAATTTCTGAACGAAATAAAAACTTTTCTTTCAAAAAATGCAGTAATGTATGACATGTTGTTCAAACACAATAAAATGAGAAAAAAATTTAAGTACAGTCAAGCCCCACTGTTGCTTAAAAACTATATGCAAAACATAATTATAACCTACTTCGTGCATTCATCAGTTCTTGGAGTTCTTTCACTTGTTTTTCAACATTTTGGGACATTGTTATTTCGGGTGGATTTGAACCATCAACCACAAAGATGACACAGTGTACACGGTCAGCTAAGGTAGGATCTTTCCTAAACTTAGCATTGTCTTTAGTAATAGGCGTACTTTGATTAAACTAAATAAAAACAAGAATTATACATCAAATGTGTGTTTTATACTTATTATTTTATACATATATAATGCTCTTCTGTATAAATATACATGTGTTTGAAAGCATTAAATGCATACAACTGGTATGAAACAAATGTATCTTAACCCGACCATTTAGTCTGTAAATAAACATAAAATTAATGGTTTGTATACCACATATCCATCCATCACGTGACCATCCAGAATTGCCTCGACATCACGTGAGTTAAGACTTTGGTCCTCCTCTAAACCACGACAATCAAAAATTCTAAAGTTGAAAGACTTTGAGGTTCCTTTTCTTTTTACTTTGTAAACATCAAGCTAAAATTTGCCACAAATTAAACAAAAAAAACAAAAAAACAAAAAACAAACAAACAAAAAAAAACAAAAACAAACAAAAAACAAACAAACAATCAAAAAAACAATAAATAGCAAATCTTGCAAAATATCATTATGCAAATGCCAACGTATAATTCTGTTATTCTAACATATTTCTATAATATTTTTGTCATCTTCCATAATGTAAGTTATGTTTTATCCTAATATTTTCGCTTTTCCAGTCGATAGTTACAAAGTTTTACTAAACAAGAGTTATCGGTTAACTCCGATCCCCATATACATGTATTTACCTAAGTCAGCCACTAGCAATTGGCTACTACTAACTGACTTAAAATGTGAATTAAATTAATAGGAAGACTTAAGTTTAAAAATATATCAAATAAATATGATTTCCACAAAAACCTCAATTATGTTAGCTTTTCGAAGCTTCCAATCTTAGTACAGATTTGAGCCAAAAATCCTTTAAAAAGTGTTTTTCTTACTTGGTAAACGATCATTTTTTTTTTGGTTTTGTATTATTTTGTATTTTTATGTGACCAAAAAAAAAAAAAAAAAAGAAAGAAAGAAAAGATTAAATATAGTATGGAATGCCATATACGACAGCCAACTGCTTACTGCCAACTGCTGACTGCTTACTGCCAGCTGTCAGCTGCTTAAAGCGCGGATCTAGAACATTTTTTCCAAGAGGGTCGCTCATGTTTAAAAAAATCCAACCCAGAAATTTCTTGACAAGAAAAAAAAAACGTAAAGTCCTTTCCTTAATGTGAAAATTTATTTTGGCCGAAGAGAGGGGGTTCTCATGCGTCATACCTTCATATCTATGACATTTTTTTTTATACCAACTTAACACAAAACCGCGTTTTCGGGGGGAGGGGGGGAGTTCTAAGGTCCCTTTTAGTTGATTCGTTTTATACATTGGATAACTTTTAGTTGGTTTAGTTTGTGCATTAAATAACTTTACAAATTTCAGAGGGGTGGTCCGGACCTCTCTCTCTAGATCTATGCATGTCAAACATATCTTATTTGTAAAAACAAAGAGATATAAATGTTTGATCGGCGTTTTCTACGTAGAGGGTCCAAGATCAGTTTTACGCAGTTCGTTTAGTTTATACATTAACCCATGACTGTACAAATTTCAAATGCCCCCCATCCCACCCCAAGATATTTGCATGTAAAACATTATAACACACAGAGAAATACATCTTTAATTTGAGGAAATTCTTAACTATAGAATATAATGGAAAATATAAATTTATTTTCAAAACATCTTTATCTGCGAAACGACAAATCTTTTTTGTTTTTTAAATTTTCTCTCTTCAAAGGTTTTGTTGTCTTCGGGGGTGGGGGATGGGGGTGGGGGTGGGGTGGGGGTGTTACTTCTTTTAAGATTAAAAGCAGAAAATAGTTTTTTTTTTTTTTACCTATTTCAAATAAGAAAATAAAAATAAACAATGTACTTTATCAATGGCATACACTGTATATTGAATATTTCATGAATTAAAACATAATGGTCATTTAGTCAATTTAATTTTACCAGGGTGACCTCTTGGAAAACGAAGTCCTGGATCCGCACCTGTTTTTTTTTTTTTTTTTTTGAAAATTTATATAAATATCAATATAAATATAAAATTTATTCAAATATGTGTGGCAGTTGGCAGTAAGCAGTTGGCTGTCGTATATGGCATTCCATAATATAGGAAGAATATATAAATAACTAATATACAGCTTAGATTTAAAAAAAAAATATAGAGAAAATTCGGATTAGCAAATAATATTATTTATGTCAATTTGGTAATGTCATCCTCTTTCTGGTTCTATCTTTTTATGCCAAGAAAAGGAAACATTTAATCGTTTGAAATATAAGTAGGCATCGCATGATTGGCAACAGTCTTAATGTATAGGGAAAAGGTAATGGCCTTGACCTATTCTTACCTCTAATATAAAACAGTCAAATTAAATCTAACTGATGTCAACACTTAGAAATATTGTTTCTTTTTTATTCTGTGAACATTTCATTAAATATTAAAAGTAGTACATGTGTATATGCTAAAGTTTGCCATACTTCAGCAATATTGAAAGTGATATGTGGAATATTTTTGATAAGTTCAGACTACCTAAAACTAAATGAAAGATCTTTCTTTTTGTTTTGTAACTTAATATAAAGATAGGACTTTCCTGATAATTACACAATCTAAATCAATCGCCTTTCGTAGATATTAGCGATTTAAAACAATAACCGATTTATTTCCGACTCGGCATTAAATATCAGATATCGTTTAAAGTCAGCTATACTATAGAAACGTGAAGATATATAAGTTCAAATCGGTGAAAATTTTAAATTGAACGAAAATAACAAATATCATGTAAATCTACACTTAATCTCGTATTTTTATTTTTAATTTTTTAGCTCAGATACGCCATATGTAGCTTGAAAGGAATTTGAAGATTTTTGTAATGATGGTACTTAACTGATTTTGTCAAACTAGAACTAGCACATCCGGCACGTGACCTTAGAGATAGCCTCCCTTTGATTACAGAATCTATGGTGTTGAAGAAGCTGGATTTTCCTGACGAAATTCGTCCTAATAATAAAATGTTGACGTGTGGAATCTCTGAGTTATCTTCAAACTCAGCCAGAGGTGTATATTCTTCTATTTCCTTCAGAAGGCCATCGAAAGACTGAAAAAAAGAAAATCCATTTATTAAACTAATTCAGAAAAAAAAATATTTAAAGATTAATTTTTTGCAAGTGCAACGATTTGCAGTCTGTGTTCCTTGTTTAAATTGTGTCCCTTTTTCTAGTTCAGTAGACGAATAAATAAAGTTGAATTAAACTTTACAATGCTTTAAACAATGCATAAAAATACAATAGGATCTGGTTGATATTACTAGTAATTGTTTCCATTAACCAGGAAAGAAAGAGGTAAAATTACCGTTATATCAATGTAATTGACGTACACAACGGTATGCCGTGATTTAGTCGCCATTTATATAGCAGATGGCATTGATTGATTGATTGTAAACTAGTATTGTTAAACGTCCCTCTCGAGAATTTTTCACTCATATGGAGACGCCACCACTTGCCGGTGGATAGCTGCAAATTTTGTCCTATACTCGGCACTCAGGGCCATTGAGCAAGGAGGGGTCTTTTTCGTGCCAAAACCTACTGCAACATGGGACCTCGATCGGTTTATACGGTCTCATCTGAAGGAAACGTCTCCACGCAAATGGCAAATGAAGATAACGAACAATAATCAAGCTCAAAAGTCGATTCAAACAATACAAAAGAATAGCAAAGACGAACCTCTTAACCACTTCTGTGCCACAGGGCCGATTTTGGGCCGATCACACAGTTGCGTAGAGTGCCACGGGGCCGATTTTGGGCCGATTTTATTAAAATGAATTGTGACTTTGTATTTCTTTCACTTCTATTCAACTTAAATAATTATTGAACTTTAGCATCTTTTTATTGCATAACATTAAAGGTTTTATGGCTTATTTGTAAAATATCATGAAAATTTTGGGCAAATATATGGAAAAACAAAGTGAATTTCATACCAGCGATGACGCCATGAATTTTGAAATAAATGAGTTGTTACTTATAATACCGGTATTATTACTATTGAATATGCTAAATGAACACGATTTCATTTCAAAGGTTTATTTTCATACCATTATAAATTCACTATATTGAGGTACTACTCGTCCATTTAGCAGCAATAGAATCAACGTCATTTTACGTAAATGACGTCATAATAACAAGTACATGCAAGCCAAAACTTGAGAAAACCTTCCGAGTTTATAGATTACCAGTAACTCTTGAGGCATTTAGATTGATTGACTGATTGTTTAATTCCCTGATTTAATATTGTCAAGTTTGTTTATTTTACTTAGTATTTTGTTGCGTATGAACAAATTAAAATTTATTTCCTGTTTCGTTTTGTTTCCTGTGTTCGATGTATTTTTCGTAAGTTTCCTAAATGCAGATTTTAGATGCTGCTACTCAGCTAAAAGCATCTAATAATTAAACACATTGAATAGATATTGAAAAGATAACCAAAGCTAATAGCATCAAATGTTTGTTTTTGCTTTAATTGTATTCTGATATTTTAATTTTGATCAATATTTCTTTTTTTTTGTTCCGTATTGACTTTATTTATTACATACCGGTATAAAGTTTACTATTTCATAGATTTTTTTTAACAAGAGGCATGAATTCAATGTATTACAGTGAAAGGGGTAATCATGATCAGTTTGATATGACCATTTTTCTTCCAGAATTTTAATGGAAAATAATGACGCAATCTTATCGAAATCTCTAATGAGAAAATATACATGAACGGCAAATGAAAGAAATTCTTTGTGTGACAATCTTTTTTCGAAAAAGATTTTTTTTTAAAAATTTTATTTTGATAAAAGGCTATTGATCTTTCTATTTTCATCGTGTAGGATATATCCTTAATATATATCTTACACTATAGTAAGTTAATTTGAATAGGAGTACAGATTATTTAGATTTTTGCTAGGGAAGTAAAAATTGCACCCTTTTCTGATGATGACTACACAGAATCAAGTTTACGTGTACAAAAAAAACAACAAAGTGTTGTCATATATTTTTCTGATTTTCTGATTCCCTTTAAATTAATGCTAATCATGCATCGGGTAAATAAAATCTTGGGGACTAGGTAAATATAAAACAATTATTGAAAATTTATTTAAAACTGCAGTAGAAATTTGCCTAAAGCGCAAAATGGGGTAGGGGGGGGGAGCGAGAGAAATGAAAAACAAGAAGCAAAAACAATGTATTAAAAGTGATTGTTTTGATAATTCTCACTATTGTTTTCGGCTTCACGAAGAAAGAACAAAAAAAAAAAAAAAAAAACGGCAAGGGGAAAGCCGTCTTTGATTTAAAAAAAAAATAAACTAAATACATGTATTATATTATAGCAAAGTACTATCTCTTTTTTTAAAAAAAAATGGGTGAAAATCGATCCATCCCCACCCAAACCCCCATCCGTTAGAGTACACGTACGTATGCAATTTTTTTTAAAATATCGACCTTTTCCTTATACATGTACCTACTCCTGTGAGTTCCATTTACATCATGGAATATGTACATGTGTGTAGTTGTACCTTTGAAAACATTATATAGACAAATACAATTTCAGAGAGAGAGAGAGAGAGAATAAACGCACAGTTACTAAAACATGCGATTAATTTTGAATTGTTTTGAATACATTATTATAATGTTTTAAACTTATGATTGACTTTTTTTTTTAGTAATTCTCAAGTGTTGGTTTCCTCAGTTAAATTAGTATAGCATAAAGTGATTTTTTTTTGGGGGGGTGTATTTTTCTTTAATTCAGGGGGATGTTTAATCTCAATTTATTGAATAACTGTTCATGTTTTATTTTAGCTGCAATAATGTAGCCCTCTCCGATTATTTTATCTGTTATTTGGGGGGGGGGGGGCTACATTATTACAGCTACACTGTTTTATTAAACCACCAGTTCTTTATAATTATGTTAGCATAAATATTTTTTAAGATACAAAATATGAAAAAATGTGGAATTTTGTGAATTCAAACAATACAAAAGAAGAGCAAACACGAGCCTCTTAAACACCAAAGACAGAAACAGTTGGCATAAAGGAGGAAATTCCCTGTCGACCGGTCACACCTACTGTCAAAACGACCGGTCACAACTACCGGCAAATCTAAATAATCCGTAGACAATTCAATTTATAAATAATGGTCTGAAAAACGTCAGTCAGCATTCTACCTAGAGATAAATGTGTTTACTGTCAAGCTCATTGCGAAATGATTCAGACTGTTGATATCTTTATTTCATCAACTTGTTTCACAATTATTTCTTCGCTTTAGAAATTGGTTATGCATGCTCTTGTGTATCGAATGAACTGAGAGACAGAAACCCTATATGCAACATTACATAATTAAGGAGAGTTATCTTTTTTTCATAAGTCAAGTTGTTACTTGACTTATTTTTCTAATATATATATATATATATATATATATATATATATATATATATATATATATATATATATATATATATATATATATATATATATATATATATATATATATATATATATATATATATATATATATATATATACAAATCAAAGGTACTGCCATGGGCACCAAAGTCGCCCCTACATATGCCTGTTTAGTAATGGGATTTTTAGAAGAAAAACTTTACAACGTTTTGCCGGAAACATTTGATCTAGACTTTACGCAGTACGTTAAAGAGAACTGGAAAAGGTACTTGGATGATTGCTTCATCTTTTGGACAAAGAGTGAAGAGGATCTTACAAAATTCCATTCGGTCATAAATGAGTTACACGATTCAATTAATTTCACAAGTGACATGAATCGGGACTCACTTTCTTTCCTTGATATACTTATAATAAAAAACAGAGAGGATATTTCTACAGGCCTATTCTGTAAAGAAACAGATACCCATCAATACTTGGACTTTCGCTCCTGCCATCCGTCACATACGAAAAGGAACATTCCATACAATATGGCGAGACGTATTTGTACAATCGTGACCGATTCTTCTCTACGATTGAAAAGACTCCAAGAACTAAAACAACACCTGACGTGACAAAATTACCCAGTGAACCTTATTGAGGACGGAATCAACCGGGTAAAAGACATACCTATAACCCAATTACGAAATATTCGCCATCCCGAGGAAAACGACGAAGAGAATATTCCATTTGTGATAACTCACAACCCCCGTAACCACAATATTCTCAATTCAGCAAAGCGATTTTATCCAATATTAGAACAATCTGAAAACATGAAAAATCTTCTGGATAAATCGTCAATTATTAACAGCAGAAGACAAGCACCAAACCTGAAGAGGATATTAACCAAAGCAAAATTTTCCTCTAACAACCAGAGTGTCGTCAAAAAGTGTAGTGACCCCCGATGTGGAACGTGTGATTTCATTCAGGAGGGCGAACAAATTACACTTAAAAACGGGAAAGTTTTAAAACCTAATACCAGTATGAATTGTGAATCTTCAAATTTGATTTACTGTGCAACATGCCCAACCTGTGGCGAGTATTATATAGGGCAGACAAATCAACTTAACGCACGAGTGAGGGTACACAAGCAACATATACGGGATGAAACTGTCAGATGCACCCCTTGTTCAGAACATTTCGCCGAGTGTGGTAAAGGGAAATTTAAGATTTTCCCGTTCTATAAAATGTGGACATCGGATGAAATCGCCCGTGTTACCAAAGAGGACTACTTTATAAGACTTTTTAAACCAAAACTGAATTGCAAATGAGATTATGTATAATTCACAAAACTTATTTTATTTCTATGCTTTAATTATACATTCTTTGACTGCGTTGAAAAAGGTCATGCAGCCGCTACCACAAACTACATTGTGACCTCATAATGCCTAATTAAAAGTTATCACGACGTCATTAGCAACGTTATTGACAACGTTTTGAATTTTTTGTAACTGTCTGAAGAGCCAACATGGCTGAAAGCGCTAACAGTAAAGATTTTATTTAATCTGGACTGCAGCATTCTGTTTTTATTTATTTATGTATATATATATATATATATATATATATATATATATATATATATAAAGCACAAAGAAATTCACTTTTACATGGATACCCATTTCCGC